AACAACACCTCCCACACACCCCCAATTGTGCATCCACCCCACCACCACCACCCAGCCGTGCAAGCCCTCCCCTCCCTCCTGCCGGCTGGGCCTCGGCCTGTCCGGAGAGAAGGGCCGCCTCTTGGTTGCGTCCCTCCGCTGGGCCCGGCCGCCAGAGCCGCCCCCCCCCCCCCCCCCCCGGAGGGCCCGGCCGGCCCTCCGTCTCCCCTGCCCGCCCTCTCGCTAGAGGGTCCCCGGCTCTCCCTCCTCGTTCTCCCGCCCGCCCACCTCGCCCTCTCGCGGGCCCAGCCGCGGGTTGTACACGAAGAAGCCGAGCAGGGCCGGCCCCAACAGCTTCTCCGGCCCGGTCCCCGACTCCGCCGCCGCCGCCGCCGCCATCCTGCCGGGGGTGGGAGGGGACCGCGGAGCAGAGCAGCCTCGGGAGCGGCAGGGGGCAGCCTCGGGGTGGCCGCTTTCGCTTCCTCCTCGTCCGCCTCTCCGGCCCGCGGCCCGCCCGCCCGTCCGAAGCCCCGGACTCGCCTGGCCCGCCCTGCCGCTGCGCGCGCGCGCACCCAGAGGAGGGCGGCCGCGGCAGGCAGGCAGGCAAGCAGGCCGAGCCCGGAGCGAGTGAGGGGGAAGCGGGAGGATGCGGTCGCCTCGGGACGGCTCTGTTTAAAAGGGAAGAGAAGGAAGGCCTGCGCCGCCCGGTTCTCTGCCCTGTCTTTGTGGTTAATAAAGTTTATTAAAAGTTTTAAAGTGGGCATAAAAACTAAGACGAAAGGGGGGGAGAGGTCCAGTAAAAAGGAAGGAGAAGAAAGAAAAGAGAGAGAAGGAAAAGAAAGGAAAGGAAGGCAGGCAGGCAAGCAGGAAGGAAGGAAGGAGAGAAAGAGAGAGAAAGAAGCAAAAGCATTGTGAGAAAGAAGAGAACTTACAATTTCCACCGCAGCAAATACAATTGCAGAATTTGTGAAATTATTTAAAAAGCTCATTTTTTATCTTTACCTTTTTAAGCGCACCAACGTGCCTACAGTCCCTGTCCTATTGTTTCTCTTATTCTTCTTTTATTTTTCTTATATGTACCCATTTCATGTATTCACAACTATGTATACACTTATACTTATTATCTTGTAAACAATTGGCAAATCAAATAAATAAATAAATAAATAAATATTCAGCAAAGTTGACATTTGTGCATTCCCCCCCCCCCCCCCGCTGTTTCATGCAGAAAATGTATAAGGGATTTCCCATCAACAATAAACAAATTCTTTCCTATAATCAAGGAAGTTAATTTAATCATCTTTGCAATAATAGGGGTTAATGATGCACTATAAGCTATGGCTTCTGCCTTTTAGGTTCAACCACCAGCTAGCAGAGATCCAGCAGACAATAACATTGCCCCGTTTCCTTACGATATTTGTTTTCATTTGTAGTTTGCAAAGTTTCAATAATGTCTATTTTTAAAAAGAATGGAGTCGAGGAAAGTGGAATTCAAACACGTTTATTTCTGTGCAAAAGCAAATTGTCAGACAATTTCAAAGACAGGCTAATATTAGATTTTTATACTGTTTGCATAAGTAGACAAGGTTACAGTTTCATTCATTGGTTATTTACTGCTTCCCAGATTTGTTTACTATGCATGGACTCACGTCTACAGTAATCCTCAACCTAACGACCATAAATGAGCCCAAAATTTCTGTGGCTAACCAAGGCAGTTGTTAAGTGAGTTTTGACCCATTTCACAATCTTTCTTGCCACGGTTGTTAAGTGGTTAAGTTATTAACACAGTGAATCTGGCTTCCCCACTGCAACCATCATAAATGTGAGTCAGTTGCCAAGTGTCCAAATTTTGATCACGTGACCATTGGGGAGGCTACAATGGTTTTAAGTGTGAGAAACAGTCATAAGTCAATTTCCAATGCCGTTGTAACTTTGAATGATCACTAAAGGAACTGTTGTAAGTCGAGGTCTTATCTGTACATCCAAAATCTTTTGTCCAGGTCTAGAAGCCATAGAAGAAATGCTGGCAGCCCACCTTGGGGTCAACAGGCTTAGTTTTTATTTTCTCTACCTCCCCTTGTGTTTGATATCTGAAATGGCAGAGTTTTCATCCTGACTTGGAAAACAGATGTCCCTATTCAAAGAGAGACATCTGTCCGTTGTACCACAGAGACAGTGACTTTGAAATGATCTTTATTTGGTAGCTTGAGAGAATTAACCTTTGGAAATTGGACAGCTAGTCCTTGTGATTTGACATGTTCACCATTACAACAGAGGGTCCCAAATGACGTATGACCCTGTTTCAAAGTTACAACAGTGGTCATTCATCCTTATGAGCAACCACAGGGATAGAGCAGGGGTATGCGGTCAAGCTTTAACTTGACGACTGTCACAATTGTAATGGGCATTACGGTCGTATCTTGAGGACTATGTGTAGCACACCACTGAATAGGAGGCAAAGCATAACAAAGGATCCTGGGATTTGAAAGTTTCAAGAGAACTTTTTCTGGGTAGCAGAAGTTCTTCCGCCACTTCCGGTCCTTTAGGACTGCACCATCTCCTGGAATTCTGCAATAAAAAGGAGAAGCAGTTTGAAAATTTTTGAGTGGACTCATTCTTCAATAGAAGAGTTGAAGTCGAACTACCAACACAACTTTTCATATCCAGGAGTTCTAAACTCTTGATGGAGACCATGGTCGGCTTCACACACAATTTATAGTCAACAATAAATTGTGTGCCTGCTTCACAAGGAGGGGTAGAGTTACTATCTTTGAAGTATATTTATCAGCGTTCAACTATGGGGACAATTAATTTGTGTGTGTGTGTGTGTGTATGACTTGTTTTTTTCATTTTATACACTCTTGTGTCTTATTTTGTTGTGTTGTTTTTGTATTACTTGGGGAGTTTGTATTTTAATTGGAATAAAATAAAAAATAGATTATTAAAAATAAAAAGGGAGGCTATTGTTACTTTGCTAGACTTTTTCAGTGACCATTGTTGGAAATGGTTCCCAAGGAACCTTTTCTTCACCAAGGGCAGAGTTTTAATTTGAATTCTCTCTTCCTTTTTCTTCTCACTGCTTCCTACATGAACCTTCTCTGTTGAAGGTGATGGACAAAACAAAGACACTCCCAGGGAATAAGAGAACATCACAGATAACTCTAGAAAACTTCTTTCCACACCTTAGCTTGCTATGAGTAATGGGTCATCTCAAACCATTTGCTCACTTCACATTTTGAAACCAGAGTTTGGCTAGGAGCTCTTCCATCGATGGTGCCTGGAGCAATGATCCCATTCCTCCCTCAAAAAGATCCATCTATGGATTGCATTTTTATCTTCAGGAGAGACTGCATGACAGAACAAATCCAAGTCAACCAACTCGTACCTTCAGTCCCAACTTTCCCATCTCCATCGTGGTCTCCTGCCGCCATAAATTTTTCGATTTCTGTCGCTGTTAACAAGCGAGCCCCGGGATCAAATCTCTGGAGGAAGTATCTAGAGAGAGGAGGAGAAAAGCAATTTCATGTGGTGAAATTCTTTTGAGCCGAGTTGATAAGTTAGGGATGCCAGACAAAACTCTAGGCCAGTTTTTCTCAATCATGGCAACTTTAAGCTGCGTTGACTTCAATTCCTAGAATTCCATGCTGGCTGGGGAATTCTGGGAGTTGAAGTCCACACAGCTTGAAGTTGCCAAAGTTGTGAAACATTGCCCTAAGTCACTTGGCATTTCTCTTTTTTAATTGGCTTTCCACTAAGTCTTTTAACTATTTCTTATTTTGAAATCTCTTGATATACGAGGACAGACGTTAGTATATCGTGTGCCATAAGTTCAAGAAATATTCTTACATGCATAAAAAGGTTTTAAATTCAAAAATGTTTGCCTTTTACACCCAAAAGTTTTCTCAGTGTGTAGATGCAATTTTAAATGAGAAGCCAGAGATCTGCAGCACCATTTCAGACAAGCCTGTCAGGAAGGAAAGTCCGCAGATTTTACTTGGGCTACTCTCCCACGTAAAATCAACCAGGATTGTACCTACAGTACTCAGAATATATTTAAAGAATATATTTAAAGAAAGACAGAAGAAAATTGTGGGGCTTCCTTACGTTAACTCCTGTTCTTCAATAAATCCACTTTGATTGTGGTCTAATATTTGGAAAATGTCCTTGATTTGGCTGCTGCTCTTTTTGGACATTCCAATAAGCTGGAAGAATTTTCTGTGGTTGAAACTATCTGGAGCTAGGAAGAGAAGAAGAAGGGGAAAAAAGGACCATTGTGAGGTAGAACTTTGGAGAAACTTATCCTCTTCCTCCTCCTTTCCACCATCCTGATCTTCTATCTAGAGAGACAGAATAAGAGAATAACAAGAGTTGGAAGGGACCTTGGAGGTCTTCTAGTCCAACCCCCTGCTCAATCAGTAGACCCTATAACAGTTCAGACAAATGGCTGTCCAATCTCTTCTTAAAAGCCTCCATTGTTGGAGCAGCCACAACTTCTGGAGGCAAGTTGTTCCACTGATGAATTGTTCTGACTGTCAGGAAATTTCTCCTTAATTCTAGATTGGTTCTCTTTTTGATTAGTTTCCACCTGTTGCTTCTTGTTTTGCCTTCTGGTGCTTTGCAAAATAGGCTGACCCCCGTCTTCTTTGTGGCGGCCCCTTAGATATTGGCAGGCTGCTATCACGTCATCCCTAACCCTTCTTTTCATTAAACTAGTCACACCCAGTTCTTACTTACTTACAAATTAAGTTCTTGCAACTGTTCTTCGTATGTTTTAACCTCCAGTTCCCTAATCATCTGTGTTGCTGTGGCTTTGCTGTATACATTACATTCTATTACTAAAGATGCTCAGTTTGTAAAACTTCCATGTGGAAGACAAGTTGACTTTGTTTGCACAGACATGGTTCTTCCAACATGCTAATCCCAATCCCGTCGACAACAACCACACACGCACAAAAATCCAAAACATGGACTGATAATTTTAAAAGGAAAGTCATATCTAGGGGAAATTCCACATTTGGATGTCAACATATCGGTAAGAGCCTACAGTCTTCAACTCTTATTAAGAATCAAAATCATTAGTTACACATCCTACTTGTTAGCCAGACAGCCACGATAGAACTATCATAGAAACATCTCAATTCAAGAGGTAGTTTTGGACAAACATTAATTAACAGGCCACCCTCCCCCAATTTTGAAGGGATCAAGACACATTTAAAGTGCAAGGCACCATCTAATTTGGTGGCCTAATAATTACTTCGTTGCCCAACTCATCCTTTGTCTAGAATGCTGGAAATTCAGCTCTGTTTGTAAATTTCTCAATCTAAGACTCACAAAAACAGTCTTAGGCTGCATCTGAGCTTTTGATCTGCCCTAGTAAAGCAACGCTTAATTTATTTACCCCAATGTCCTCTTACCTTGACAATCCTGGAGTGCGGCAGCAATATCCGAAGGACTAAGGAAGTCACTTATGCTCATCTTGGATTCTGCTAAAAGAAGGTATAGCAGAAAGCTGCATTACAAGGAAAGAAAAAGCAGTATTTTCACTCAAGCAGTGTAAGAAATAAGAAGAAAGAAAAGAAACAACCTCTTACAAATTGCCTTACAAATGGCATAACCACTATAGCCAGTATAATCATTCATCAATCACTCTTGTTTTTATCCATCATATTCAAATAGTCCTCCCTCCCTCCCTTCCTGTCTTCCTTCCTTCCTTCCTTCCTTCCTTCCTTCCTTCCTTCCTTCCTT